TTGACTCTGCCCTGCAGGGCACCGACACCATTTGGCGAAACACGACTATTAATGAGCGTTCAAGTATATAGTGAGAAAGTTAATCGCTCTTCTCTCTTATAGACATCCCACAGACATGACCGAGACTGTGAGAGAAATGTCTATCACGTTTGTGACGGGTCCAGTAGAGCATCGCAGGGCATCTGTACAGGGTTACCAGAAGTGCTAAGTCATGGAGGACGGAGCAAAGAAATTGTCATGGTGATTCTTTGTGCCGTCCCCCATGAGTCACCAGTTCTGGTAACCCTGGTCGTTCGGCCTTAATTTGTTTGGAATTATAATATATTCGAAGATTCAAAAAAATTCTGTAAACACAAACGTCTAAAAAACTACACGATGCCTTTTTCTATTTTAACTTTTACCAAAACTGTCTTGCGAGCTGGTATCATCTTTCATCGTATTCATCTTTCCTTATGATGAACAATTATATGTGACAGTTGAGGAATACCATAATCAACAGAATGAAATCCGAAAGCGGCAGAAGGAACACAGGCGATCTATTATTGTATTTGATCTACTTCCAACTTAGCGCTCAATCCACCCATGGTTGTCTCATCCTAGTTCAATTAACTGCATCTGTTAATGTTCAGAAAACCGGTAAGAAATGGTCCATTTAGGGCGTCCACTAGTTGGTTTTTAACCGTCAACTAATAGTCTAGAAACATCCAGTTAATGGCAATATGTTCTGCATTTTTACTTTTATCACTTAACGACCTGTTTCTTCGCCATTTTTCTTCCAAATTATTCCCTATTTTATTTTGCTATCGCTACTACTATACCAGCGACTTTTTTCAAAGAAAATTGTAAATCGATCATTTTTTTGACGTGAAACAGGTTAAGGTATGCGATGTAAAAACGGAAACGAGACACTTGCACCGTTCTAGAGCACCATTAACCACACCGTTTTTGATCATTTGAGTTATACTTGTCATGAATGGATAACGGTCACGTCCGAAATGTCGGGAGATGAACCTATTCAATTCAATGGGCGTAATTCGTCTCGATTTAAACACGTTTGCGAATCGACGGTATCGAATCGATACCGTCGACATTGTCCCTTTTTGGAAAAAAATGGCCATTGGCAAGTTTCAAACCAGAATGATGCTCATATCTCACTTTCTGGTAGATGCCATCTTATTTCTTATCATAATCCGTGTAATGTTATATTTCGAAAGTAGGAAGATTTTTTATATTTGCATTTCACTTCTGTCCACATGTCTCCTACTGTAAAAGTCATTCCAAATTATCTTGACTGTATACATACTTTCCATAAAGCCACCGTAGGAATTTTTGTGTTTGTTGTAGGAAAAAGAATAGTTAATTGATAGCTGTTATTTATTTCCTTGTCTATCAAACTAGAGGTTATTACTAATGGAAATATTTTCTCGTCTATAATTAACTATATTAGACGAAAAACACAATAACTGCTTTTATCTAAGAACAATCATCAGCAACAATGGATTCTAAATCTTTTGCTATCGGTAAGTAGAGATATGCCCGGCCGCGATTTGTTGAGTCTTATCCTCGTCCTATCCTATTTGTATATTGCCCTATCTTATTTCAGGTCCTGATTTTGTGAAAAACTCTCGCGCCTTTTTCCACTTTTTCTAATGAGAAGTTTCGTACTATCTATATAAAATCTATAAAAAGAAACGCAAGGAATGTCGATAAAATTTGTAGCCGCAATTAAAAATTCATCCTGGTTTTGAATTAAATTTGTCAGCAAGCGCGGATTTGTGTGTAACTAATTGTCTGTGTTACTAAAGATGTGCAGCTTAACCGATTATTAACACCTGACCTTTATCCTATAAAATTTTATTAAGCTCCAGTCTCATTACAACTGGTAGTTGATCATGCAAACCAAACTTGAAGTTTGTGTCTTTGTTGAGACTTGATAAAAAATCTTATTAGCAATCGCTCACTTACGGTGTCAACTTACGCTAGGAAATAATCCATTTTTTGATGCGACGCATCACCACCATCTTGTTATAGAGATTGTACAATATCCTATCACGAAACCGACAAATTTTAAAAACTTGTTCGGTCAAAACCGATTGCAGATTCGCCTTCTCCATTGTCAGTTATTTGGTACGTGATAACTTTTGGATCGGGGTACTTAAGAAAAAAGTTTTCTCATGGTCTTGCTCAGTAATTTGTCAAAAAGTTACATTATAGAACCAAAGCAAAACGATATCAAAAGATTTGTCTGAAGTACCTCGATCCAAAAGTTACCACGCATCAGATAATCGATTATGGAGAAGACGAATCTGCAACTGATTTTGATTATCTGGCTGAGAAAAAAAATTAATTATTTAAAACAATATTGTTAAATTTTGTATTGTAAATATTTTCCACACATTTCTCCATCGGTCTAGGCAAGAACTAAATTTTCAGGATGAATGGAGAATAGACAGGAAATTTTGTAATAATAATCACGTGCTCAAAAATTAAACAACATTTTTTTAAGTAATTAATTTTTTTCTCAGCTAAATAATGTAAGTAAGCTAAGAAAACTTCAGAACATATACTCCGAAGTATCCTCGACAAACTGGAAACGCTAGAGGAAAATCTAAACGGGGGATCCCCCCCTTAATATCAAATACCTGAGGTAATAATTTTTTTGTTGTTTACTTAGTACTCTCATTGGTAATAGTAGCGGCGATGACGCTCTGTAATGCCGACACTGACGCATGGTTTGATGAATTCTTATCCAGATTGAAAGAAGACCAATTAAATGCGCAGAACGAGTATGCCAACGAACTCAATGGTCCCACTGATTTCGTTAAACGCGACGATACCATCGAACTGTTCAATTTAATTCATAAATTTAATCAGCATGCCAAAGGTACAAGGCTCATTCTTCTTGGAGGAACTTGCAACCACTATGGGTGTTCGAAGTGCGGCGTGTGTACCGCTTACGGATGTCCAGCGTGTTTTCCCAACACCAGTGGTGGCACATGCAATCGATACGGATGTGCATCGTGTGGTGAATGTAGCGCGTACGGCTGCCCGAAATGTGGACCAGGAGCAATGGGAGGATCGTGCAATACCTATGGCTGCTCCGATTATGGTGTATGTAACGCTTACGGTTGTCCGTAGAAATGCCACTAAATAAAATACTTTTCAATAAATTTTTTTGAGTTTTGTGTTATAACTTTGATAAGAAGTATAAGTTATTGGCTACGAATCTTTTGACTTACAGTATAGATAAAAACATTATTAAAAAGGACTTTAGCTTATGTTGATATCTACGAAAAAAGTTACCTTACACCCATCAAATGCTTGTATTGATGAATAGTTTTTCAAAAAAATGATTCGAATAAGTATCTCTGACGCACATTACGACACCGCTGGACGTAGATTTACTACTTAATGTTAGAAACATCACGTCCTACAAATTCATAATCAGAAAAATAACCGCGATTCAAAGAAAATACCGCGCGGTTACTTTTGCGTTGACACAGTGATAACCTCCCCTGCAAAAAAATATTTTATCGGCACTGGTTGTACACGGGTGCGCACCGGTGCCGAATAATTTTTTTCTGGGCACCGATGCGCATCGGTGCCAGAAACAATGAAAGATCTCGCACCAGTGTCGAAGTTTTGTTATCAATCACCGCTTTGGTTTGTCAATTTCTGTCTATATTAACATCACAATACTACTACTTCTAATATGTCAAATGTCTTTCTGATTTCATCTTTTCCTTCTCATAAGAGAAGTGCCAAGGCAATGCCGCATGGTTTTGGCATGTCGATGTGGTACTGATCAGAGCCGCATTCTAATACAAAATTCAGCATAAACAACCATAATAAAAAACTAATTAAATAAATTTCAGTGCTCGAAATCGATGCGGCACTGATTTTTGCCAGTGCGGCACCCATGCGGTACTCTTTCGGCAGAAATATATCGGCACTGGTGCTCACGGATGCCAATCGGCACTGGTTCGGCACTTGCTTGGCACGGGTGCCAAGCAAGTGCCAGTAACCGATGGCATGCCATGCGCACCGGTAGTACCGCACTGGATTTTTTTTTTATAGGGTCACGATTTACCGGGTTGATAAACGGCAGTATTTTGCCGGTATTGAGTATGGTATGGGTATATTCTGCTTTTCTCGTTTATTTGATCACTTTTTATCACCAAAATGACCTAATACATTCAAACAACGATATTAACATATAACAAATGAATATATATATGATCATTCTTTTGCTTTGGTTACGAGATCAAAAGAGCACATGCATAAATCGAAACATCGGAATTTAAAAATAAAATAAAATGATTCACACTGCTGCTGTTGTTATGCTTTTTCTATTAATATTATTTTCCCATAGAAAGTTTTTTCGCCATTTTGTTCGAAAAATTTTCTTAAACATTTGACAATACGTCTTGTCAAAAATAGAAAATCTTCTGAACTATAGAGTGTGCTGAGTACGAAAAAACACTTTTCCGCGATGCTGCATGAACATTATTTTTCTGTCGGTGATATGATGAAACCCAAACTCTCTTTGACAATCCATAATTAGAAATGAAAAAAAGGTAATTGAATAAATTATCTCCGTTAGATCTAGTATAAAAATTCAGATGTTAAAATACTTAGGGGATGAGCTCTACCATTTAGCGCTGGATACGCCACTACTAGACAACAGCCTCTCGATCGGAACTGCAACTCTCAGAGTCACTGAAAATACTGCAGAACACATCCCGTGGCCGATGCTCCTATCTCTTACACAAATGGAACATGCAATAATGCCCCAAATGCGACTACGGGATCGAACAAACAATGGAGCAATAACCCACAGCTGTCCATCAAGATCTCTCAGCGGAGACATTGCCACGATCCGTCATCTCTTATCTGAAGCCATGGAATGGCTAGCAAAGTTGGATGTCGATTTCTAATATAGTTGCTGACCGCTCACACCACGCCACACGAAAGAACAAAATCTAAGATAAGCGAAATATGTCATTTGAAATGTAGCTTTCATAGTTGACAAATCATCTTTGATTAATATGATTCTATCCATGATACAAGATTCATGAAAAAATAGTATTGGGTACAGGAAGTAGGTAATCAATCAACAGTGATAAGTTGTTTACAAACTCAAATCACATACGATATTCCGAAAACATTTCTATTCTATTGCGACTTCTAATCTAACTAATGGATAGAGAAAATTGTTCTCTTTCGATCTGTGCAAGGTCGAGCTCGCGAAGGGATGATTTAAAATAATTCGAATCCGATCAACTCATCATCAAACGATTAAGGAAAAATAAATGGATAACTTTATGAAAAAAGCTTATTTCAATCAATTTTTGGGAAATTTCGGACTATATAGTTTTCATACGATTTGAATTGATAAAAATGCCAGATCTATAATGGGTCTTTTCATCGTAGTTTCAACCATATATGCAATAAGTCTCTCGAAACAGACTGAAACCTAATCTACGCTCGACAATACTGGATAGGTTTCAGTCTGTTTCAAAAGACTTGTTGCATATATGGTAGAAACTACGGTGGAAAGACCCTAATAAAGCTTTAAAAAATATATTCTTGTCAAAAAGAGCTTTATTTGTGCATTTTTCGAAGGATCGTTTTTAATAGATTTTCATAATAGAAAATTTGAACGTCAGACGAATGAAAAATCTGTTTTAATAATATATTGGATAGGATGGACTGCCTTTTTAAAAACATTGTTCATGGCTCCCGCTAGGAGTTTTCGTCGCGCAAGGATCATGGACGAGTCTTCTGGTTTTGCGGGGAGTCACTACGTACTATTCCAGCGAGGCTGAACTCTCAAAACCATGTCGGAATATGCGAGCAAGTCTGTAGTCGCGGCATGAATCCTGATCCAGAACTTATTCACCGTTTTGTTTTGCAGCCGAACTTATATAAAAGAACGAAAGAAACATGAGAAATTTTAGCCATTGCTTCCTAACTTTAGTTTTCGCACAGAGAGTCGTGTTCCCAAGAAGGAATGTGACCTTTCCGAGAGTCATTAATCCTGGGAATACCTGACAATAAAAAGAACTATTGTTGGGATCTCGCCGCTAGCAGTGTGAGGTACAATGTGATTGTCATGACTTATGTCGCAAAAAACTGTTTATTCCGAAATTGCTCTAAGGATAGTGAGTGGACTAAGAGTGTGAGTTAGATACGGTTTCTAGCTGACCGTAAGAAAACCGTAATCTTGAACCCCGACTCTTACCGCGATCGCGAGACATGATCTTGCCGCTAGTTCAGCGAGAATGTTGACTTGGGTAACTTTAAAAATGCTTCTTCTCTGCAGATTAAAAAGTGAGTTTTGATTAATTATGAGTGTATCAAGTGCTGAACATTATGAATTATTCCGTAATAAATATGTACTATTTTGTGGGTGTTCTATAATAAGATCAGTCTACAAAGATTTTTGTCGTTTCTTACAAACCGATGTTAAATTGACTGATCGAGATTTAAGAGCTACAGGCGTATTTACAGTATGTAACGTACTTCTCGATGGCGGTGCGTATGACGGTTTACGCAATCATCCTTTGTATTACGAAAAACGTGCATATTTTACCACAAATCATCTTGTCAAATATGTGTTTTTTACTCGTTGTTTAAATGATCGAGTAAAGGAATTAATAAAAGAAATTGACAATGACCCAGTAAAACCTGACGTTTTTGTGTTGAATTTAGGGTTATGGGATTTGAGCGTTTACGATGGTACAGTAACTGAATTAGAATACAAGAAAAATTTTGAAGAAGTATTCACGTTATTTCGCAAAGTATTACCAAAAGAAACCATTATCTTGTAGTGTAAGTACACTTTTACACTTAGGGAATACTCTTCCAAGAAGTTCCCGAAAATTCTTACCTTGACTTAATATTCTATGTGACTTGTCCTATAATATAAGCAATGTTCGAATCCTACCTATAGCATGTTTTTTTCTGTGTTCATGTATCGAAACCGTATTGGAGTTAGGTATAGGATACGTTGTTTTTTCAAAAAGAAGATAGGCATCAAAAATATTTTCGGAGTTCATTCAGATCAAGGAAAAAAATTTCGGGTCAGGTTCGGGTCAAATGAGTTGATCCGATTCGGTCTCTGCTATGGAACACATGTTTATATTTTGTTGCTGCAACGTTTTAAACATAAAAAGTGATTTTTCTCATTGATTTTCTTTATGATTAAAAACCTAAAGAGCTTATCACAAGGTAGGATAGGGTCAGAGGTGCCAAATTTTGCGCATTTTGTGGACAAATTCCAGAGTTTTAGATTTTTTCCGCAATTTCGTTTCAAGCATTTTCTGCTGTTTTTCACCTAAGTTAAACATTCGTTTAAACTTTAAAGTCATCGTTATCATGCACTGGAATTTATGATTATTCCTTCACCGCCAGAACTGCTTAAACTTATTCATTCTAATCAAAAATATATAGTCAAAAAACGTGTCAATTAAAATCGAGATTTATATTTCTGTTTATTGTTCTCTTGTGTTTTATTGAGTAAAACCACAAAGTGCAAGAGAAAACATTATTTTGACTCTCTGCGCGTGAAAAAGGATGAAGTTAGACCATAAAAATGCATTTCCATTTTTTTTCCGCATTCTGACAATATTTTCTGCAGTGTTCCGCATTTTGAAATTTTTTTCAGCCATTTCTGACCTGTGCAACTGACAACTCTGGATAGGATATAAGATATGAACGTCTTAGAATGGAAAAAGACACGATACGGATATGAAAAATCTAATAGGTTAAAGTACAGGATACAAGAATCATCTACTCTGTACATCTCTAATTGTCCGAAAAAACGATTTGTCAAAAGAAAAAATTTCGGATTTTTTTTCTTATTGCTTTTTTGGAAGAAGGTTGACATGGTTCAACAAACATTTTTCACGAAGTGGACAATTGTCAAATAAACTTCGGAATAGAGAGCATTCCATCAGCTAATCCTATGGTTTCATTTTTAGTGACATCATTTCCACTATCTCATGATGTAAGAGGTGGAATATTTGACGAAAAAACAGCGAACTATTATTGTAAGCGATATTTACGGTTACGAATGCTGGAATTGAATGTCTTTAGTTTCGAATTGGCAAAAAAATTTTGTTTTGAAATCGCAGATTTTCATTATTTATTTTGTCAGTTACCACAACATCGTGTACAAGATGGAGTCCACTGGGATGCTCAAGCGCATCGATTAGTTACAAATCATTTATTTCACGTCATTTCTTGTCTCTGGTGTAGACCATACACAGCATCATTATTAACAACTTTAGCATTATCAGAGTCAATATCGAATTCTAATCCTTTTGATTTAGCAAAATGGCAGCAATAATAGTGACGCAAATAGTTTGAAAGATGATGAAAAATACTTAATTGATGAATATGTTAAGATATGGTTAAATAAAAGTACAGAAATTTTAAACGAAAAAGAACGTTATGCATTGCTTATACTTGATTACTATGAGAAGCGTTGAAGTTTTATTTTCGAAACTAATACTATGTCAGGTAATTTATTGCAGTGCGTTCATCAATTAAATTAAATTAAAATTTTTTATTGTCTCTCTCATTTTAATCTAAGATTTGTTTGTGTTCTACTACGGAATAGTTCTTCACATTTTTAGTCTGTTCTTTTGTAATGCCCTTCATAGCCTTTAAACTGCTCATTGTCATACGTAGTTTTTTAACTGCGTAGTTTATAAAGTACTTCCACAAGTTGTTGTTTTTCTGTTTTCAGACACTTGTGTTCAATAATTATTTTCGTTTTGGTGATCAACACTCAGATCATCGACATGTTTTTGCTTCTTTGAAACGATTTTTTCTAGAAAAAAAACCTCTATATGAACTAGAATGAACAAGAGAATTCTGTCATTTTTTAAGCAAATTGACAAGGCTACTCCTGTTTTCAATTGCTAGACAGATTTTATTTTGGAAATATCTGTTTTTTCATATTAATACGATATTCCATGGTTCAGATAATACAAAGATTCATTATGAATATTTACATAGTATTTTTATCGATTTTTATTAAAAAGTTGAGAAAACGTTAAGATCCTCTGAAAAAACCGTTTTTTTTATGTTCCAATTTAACTAAATAGCTATGTAATCTGGAAAGAAATTATAACAACACGCTGTTTGAGAACAAAAGAACATATTGGTTGTAGAAAAACCGTTTAAACATTTTCGGATGAAACTTTTAGTTTTTAAATGGAAACAAACAAAATATGTATGCATTTTCTAGCAATAGAATGGACGTGTAATGTATATTGATTATATTTACTTAGACATCGTAACCATATAATACATTTTTCTATACGATTAGATAACAAAATATACAATGTTGTTTAGATGTTATTCTTGATCAGATAGAATTAACCAAAAGAAAAAAATTTATCCTCTCAACTAGTTTGTTGCCTTACTAAATGAAGACAATTTTTTTTTTTTCTATAGGTATTAAAGGTAACGAAGGAAGAAATCTTACATACTTTTTCCGACATGTAAACGTGTAGAGAGAAGAAGAAAATGTTGACATTTGTACCTACCTTCTTCGTTTTTTGAACACTATTCCGATGTATACGTGTGTAAGTCGAGACAAACAAAAGTTAGTCCAAAAGAAAACAAATTGCAATAGTAGATATACGATTAATTAAATATCTACAATTCACTTATATTCAAAGCAGAAATAGTAAATACTAAAATAATGAATAAAACATAGTTATTTGTATGAGGAAAAAATTAGTAGTAAAAAAGAAATACAATATGTGTTTTTTTAAATTTGAATGGTAAGTTACTCAATGTAAATAATGATTCAAATAAACTTCACGTTACTAGTTTCATTGTGGTCAATCTATTCTTCGACTTGAAGTAGTACTAGTCAAGAAAACTTTCTGTTCATTCCTTCTTCTTATTATTAGCTTGTACATTTAGCTGTGTCCTGTTAAAATAGTATGGATGAACTATGAGAAATGAATGGTACATTTTATACTTAACTGGTAATTTAATCTCCAAATGTTTGAATCTGTTTTTTCCGAGAAAGAACGTACAATGATTTAACAAGATATTTTTTTATTTCCTAGTAATTGTCTGTGTCATTGAAGTTCGCGAGAGTAATACCTTGAATGAAATAATCAATAAATATAGTTTCAATTTTACAACTATAAAATCCCAGTTAATTGTCAACAGCAGAACATCATTATCAACTATTCATCATCCAAAAAAAAACTTGACTTTATTAAAACTATTAGTATTAACAAATGAACCATACAATCAAATACAATATATTGAAACGCCGATTAATTCAACATTAACGATATCGTCCGGGTGGAATACGCAGATTATTTCAACTAATTTGGAACACAATCAAACAGCAACCACTCAACAAACTCACACGAGTCGTACACTATTAGTGACGAAACCAAATTCATATATATTAAACGAAGATGACGATTTAGATGATGAACTAGAGGATGGAGGAGGAAAACGTGTCAAACGAGCTTTCACTTGCAAAAGTAATTTGACGGTTAACAGTGTGTCTGAATTGTAATGATTACCTTTTTTCAGCTGATGGATATTTTCCTGATTACAACAACTGTCGAATCTACCACATGTGCAATGCTGGCATAGACACAGCAGTTGTGTGTGGAGAAGGAACAGCTTGGGATCCAGAGAAGAAAAATTGTGGCTGGACCGATACTGTTGAATGTAGGAATGGTGTAAGAAAATGGGAAAAAATTACTGATATACGAGGAAGTATGTTTAGATGAAATCGATATTGACATTGATCACACCCTCTAAAATTATTGTTTCAGTGACATTGTTTTCGACTGATCCAGCGCGTGCATGGCGAAATAAAAAAAAATCAACGACAAGGCGAATAGCATTAAAAGTTGATAGTAATTATACATGTGAATATGATAGTGAAGGCTACTATCCCGATCCCAAATATTGTCATGTTTATCATTATTGTGCTGTGGGTAAGATTGTTACACACTATATTGAAATCTTATTGATATTCTCATCTAAGTCTTACTTTTATTTTAGGTGTACATATGCCAATAGCCTGTGGTGAGGGTTTATGGTACAGTTCAAAAGACGATGGATGTGTTTGGCCGAAGGATTCAGATTGTAGGCAATCAAATTCTATAATTTATTTCAAATGTCAATCATGTTTCTCTCTCATTTAAGGTAAAGCAGGCCATCTGTATACATCGTCAACGTCCCCAAGTGTTAGTGAGGGTAATTATACAACAGCACCAAGTCGCCGTCCCGGTACTGTTTATCCAATAATTGAATGTCCGAAAGGCGTGTCAAAATATTTCGAAGATCCGTATGATTGTACAGCATATCATTTTTGCAATGGTATGTTCATTACTATGAAAGATGAAAAACTAATTCGAGCTCTTTTCTAGGCGGTAGAGATACTGTTATGTTATGTGAACCCGGACTGTACTATCATAAAGGTAAAATAAAAGTCAACAATGGAATAATTTCTCTGATTTGCCAATGTATATCTATTTGAAGGTCATAATACGTGTGATTGGAGAAAAAATGTTCCGGAATGTAAGAAAATCAGTGAATTTTATCAGATACCATCAATTTCTATAATTTTTGTTTTCTGTCTAATTTCAGGCGAAAATCGATGCCCAACAAACGGACAACGAATGCGATTTGTCGATCCTTCAAGTTGTTGTCAGTATTTTGAATGTATTACCGGTCAACTGAAAGAACAAATTTGTCCACCTTATAAACTATTTTCAACATTATCGAAAAGCTGTGAAAGTCATCAAGTTGTTCAATGCGGAACCCGTAAAGAGTGTATCGTACCTTGTAAGTTAAACACATTCAAACAGAGCAAATAATTCTAACGATTAATTTGTTTAGGTGATTACGATCATAGTCCGTTGTGTGCATTCAAACCAGCATGTAAAGATTTATTAGATGGTCATTATATCGACAAATATCGTCCATCGTGTCAATTTCATTATACATGCTTAGATAAACGTACACATAATTATACAGCATGTGAACATGGTTATCGCTTTAGTGAAGATAAAAAACAATGTCTTTTAGCAAAACATGTTAAATGTGCAGGTAATAGCAATAATCCAATTTTATTCTAAGTTGAATTGAATAATGTCATCTTCTGTCTTTTAGGTATTATGCACAAGTATGTATTTCCTGTTCTAATTCTATTGATATTTATTTCTTGCAATATCTTCGATTATTAAATTCGATCGCTAAATAAAATCGTCTATTTTTTTGTTTGTTTTTTAATAAAAAAATTTAAATAAACGTTAACTTTCTATCCATAATGGTAAAATTATCAAGCAATATGAATTTTTCTCATTGATTATACTCAAAAAGGTCTTATTTGTCTCACTGTCTCATATGCCATACTAACTAGTTCCGTTAATCTGAAAATCAAATTTTACTCTACGAAGTAAAAACATTTATGATTGTACATTAGTGACATCTATATTTATACAAAAGTTGTTCCACCTTACTTAATGCGTCCATCTCTTCAAGTAAAACTACTCAGTGGTTTCGTTTTAATTTATTATTTTTGCAAAATTCCAGAAGAGCACGCTATCGTATCGTGTCTAAAGGCAAGGAGGACCAGTGAATGACTGTCACCATTGAAAAAGTTTTTCGTCATTGAGATAGACAGGAGGGTGCTCATTACCTCTCGTGTACATTGCTTTATGTTTGTCTTCTAGAGAAGACTCTCCTTTCTTCCGACTGAAGGATACTGCCTGACTTTGTTTTAATTTTTTATTCAGAAAATAATCTTGGTGAATGAACGTCTGAGAGAAAGAGCGAAGGAAGAGAAGACTAAATCCTAAAAAGTTATTAGTGTCTCGCTTAGAATTCATCATGTTTTCGAGAGCTGAAAAGATTAAGAACCAAGCCCCCAAGAAAACAGTAATCCAATTAGATGAAGAATTGAGAGACAGAAGACCTATTTCTTTCCTCTAACATCCTCTTTAAAAATTAATATTAGTCTAATTACAAATTTGTTCACGAAATCTGAGAGCTATCAAAGCTTCCTATATTAGCCGCATAAATTTCTTATTGACTAAATTAAATAATGTTTACTTTCGTCTTTGTAGATACATAATGACTGCTCGAGATCAAATACGAGCTATGCTCGATCAATTGATGGGATCACAAGATGGTAAGAAGGTTGTTTAGTTTTTTACATTTTTAATCTTCGATACTAGAATTTTCGATGTTTATTGTTCAACTTCATTATTGAAAAAGATAAAAAAATTTGAAATTATTTGACTCAAAGTATCACTGGGTTTTCGGAGCAATACAACTGGTCAATTTTCAATAATGTTGTCGCTACAATCATCTCGAAAATATCGTTTAGATAGATCCGCTATTGATGGGAGCTATTTTTTATTTAAGGTTAAAGGTGACCTTTTTATCATATGAAAATGCCCATATCTAATATGATGGGCGATGACGTTTGATTTTGATTCGTGAGTCTTAGATGATTTTTTTCTTATTTTTCTCCGTAATAATCGTGTATGTGAACGAAAATGAGACGATAAATATTTGTTTTTTAAATCAAATATCGTTCATTTTGATTTTAGCCATAAACTAAAGACGTAAAATTTTTATTTAAGTGTTGAGTTCTGATTTCAATAAGATCGTGAATATATTTCTATCAAATGCATTCATATGAGCTGTGAGTAAACGAACAACGAAATAACCATTATTTGGCTTTTCCTTTTTTATTTTTAAAATTAAGAACTAGACTTCTAATATGCGTGTTTGTTCAGTGTCCGAAAAAAACACAGTTAATATAAAGGATATGCCCTGTTAAGCTTTCGGGTACGTATTATACATGCCTGACGTACAAGAGACGTAAGTATTGATTAAAAAAAACATTACATCGTACCCAAAAATGATCTAATTGAGTAAAAGGATATCCTCAAACAGAATTTAATTATAATTGCCGCGAGCTGGAAAAAAATGTTGCAATGTGAGGATGGATACAAAACTGTTTATAATAATTGTAGAGATTAATACAATCTGTACTACTCAACGATTTGTTCCTGGTAATTCCTCTTCCCCAGAATAGAAGAACAGTGGTCTTCTAATGTGTTTCGCTAAATGGGTAGTCTTTTATTGAGATATAATTTTTTTTCCGGGGAATTAACGCCCTTTTCCATAGAAGAACTGATTCCTATTACTTATATTCTGTTTTTCTCGTTTACTTAATCACTTTTTTGTCACCAAAATGACTTAACACATTCAAACAAAGATGTTAACAGATAATAAATGAATATATATATGATCATTCTTTTGCTTTGGTTACGAGAGCAAAAGCATACATGCAGCATCATTGTATTCCTCTGGTCTTTTATTTGTTTTTCAAGTCAGAAACTCGACAGTAGTCTTCTAATTAGGGATGGACTTCTATTCTGGAGAGGAGGAGAGTTACTTCACAATTGCACTGTAAGTGAAAAAATATAAACAATACTTAAATTTTGCTTGGTCATGCTGTTTTTGGTATTTTTATTTAAAGAATTAAACTTTCTCTAATTTCTGTTTAATTCCTTCTAGGATCTTCCAAGGCCAATATTCCGTTCGATGATCCACGAGTGTGTCGTTCATTTCTTCTTGGTTGTTGTCCACATGAAATTTTGTCTGGGACAGTAAGTTGAGCGTTTGCGCTCTTAGTATGAGAAAACTCATTCATTTGACTTTTTTTCCTTGCATCATAGCGTGTGGATCTAGGCGAATGTTTAAAAATTCATGAATATGCATTGCGAGCAGATTATGAACGTGCTGCAAAAGAAAGAAATTTGTTTTACGAATCAGATGTAAGGAAATCTTCTTTCTTCTTCCTTTTTCAAATGATAACGTATTTGTTTTTACAGGCACTTGATGTTTTAAATCAGTTTGTCGTTGATTGCGATCGGAAAACTGAACATGCCAAACGAAAATTGCGCGAAACACAAGAAGAACTTGGTGAAGAAGCTGCTCGAAAAGTATAATTTCTCAAATTCACTCGTTCGTCTGTACATTTACAGCATTATCTTTTTGTCGTTGTACTAGATGAATGCCATTCATGAACTTGGTGAATTAGTTGGCACAAAATTAGCAAAGGCTGAAGAATTAGGTAAGTTTATCGATAAGTTCGTTTTTTGGCTTACATTAACAATGTTGTTTAAGTATAGGTGCACAAGGTCTCGTTGATGAATCAATGAAATTATTGGATGAAGTTGAACAATTAAAACGTCAAAAATCCGACGCTGAGCATGAATTTCGTTCAACAATGCCTGCTTCAACCTATCAACAACAAAAGCTTCGTGTATGTGAAGTGTGTTCTGCTTATTTGGGCATCCATGATAATGACAGACGTTTGGCTGATCATTTTGGAGGGAAATTGCACCTAGGTTTTATACAAATACGTGAGAAATTAACGGATTTGAAAAAACGTGTTAGTGAATGGAAAGATAAACGAGATTTAGAGCGCAAACCACGAAGGAGGTATACGATGATCGTTATGCAATATGCTTATGTTTAAACTGTTATTTTTTAATAGTCCGAGTTTCACTCGTACAACTAGCATACGAAATCGTGCCGATCAACGAGTAGATCGCGGTGGTGGTGGTGGTGGCGGTTTCGCACGTGACGACTATCGTTCGAGCAATAGATCTGATAATGCCAATGGACGAACGAAACAACGAACAAAAAGCCGAAGTAGATCAAAAAAACGTTCGAGTCGTGATAGGCGACGATCACGTTCAAGGTAATAGATCGAGCTAAGCTTGTTTATAACTCATCCATTTATGTTCGATTAATGTAGGTCGGATTCAGGATCACGACGTTCATCTAAACGATCTAAACATTCGAAGTCATCATCACACCGTCGTCATAAACGTTCTCGATCTCGGTAGGTTATCTAAAACTTTATAAACATCATGTTTCAAGGGATAATTTTGTTCCTTTAGTTCACAATCGCGACATCGTCGTAGCAAATCTCGATCTCATTCGAAAAAACATTCTTCGTCACACCATCGACATAAACATGATAAACGTCGTAGTTCAAACTATTCTTCGTCCCCTGTGACTCACAATGGTCGTGAACAGCAAGAACGTAGCGGAAGTCATGCAAGTGGCGAGAAGCAAATGAAAGATAGAGAAGAAGGCGAAGAAGATCAACAGAATGAGGAGAGAAAATTGACGAAATTATTAGAAAAGTATGAAGGTGATCTTGCGGGCGATAATCAACCACACAAACGATCAGAAGTTGTACAAGAAGACGATGATAACAATATAACAGATTAACGAAAGAAATTTACTGGTTTTTACCACAATTTTTTGTTACTTTGAGAAAAAATTGGAAAAGTTTGTCAATAATGAACGTGTAAGCGTACGCTTAATATATACGAATATTTTTTTGAGTGAGGTCTTTTGGGTGTTTTTCTTTATCGATAAGCGTCTCTTTTTTGCTTCGTTTTTTCTTTATCCATGAATTTGGTTTTGCATTTGTGAGTGAACTAGAAAAAAGAAAACGTTAAGTTATACATGTGTGCTTGTCTTAGACATGCCTGCATTCTCTTTTTGATTTATGACTATCTCTAAAGTTTGGTTTTGTTAATTCTATATCTTGTTATTTGCAAATCAAAAAAAATATATACATTGTGTACGTATATTTGACTTCTGTTTAGTGTATCATATGGTAATTAAATAAATCTGGTCTCATTTTCGTGATAAAATGAAGATGTGATAAAACTATTGATGTTTTTTTGTCAATATACTCTCGTTAGTGTCTCGAAATTGTTGATTTAGCATTCAAGAAGGAGGGAACATAAAATACATGCATTATTATATTAATTGATTTGAAGAACTCTTATCATAATAACTATACTCTTAGTTATTAAATTTTTTTAAATTTTAGATCATTATGTTAGTTTAATTCTTCTGTATTTTCAATCATTTATTTCTTAGTCAAAACTTAACAGACACACTACGATATCTTTCTGTAAAAAACAAAAATAGAGCTCGATTTTGAACTTCGTTTATCCTGTTACTTATTCATTTGGTTATTTCTTTCGATAATTGTCATATTTGTTGCTTGGTATCATTACGGTAGTTTAATCGTACAACAATTATCTAAAGCAGGTAAATAACTACATGTTTTTTTCTCTAAGAAAACAAACTGTTCATGAAAGACAGAAGCCTATATAAATGGTAATTTTTGTCAAATTTGTGTCTACTGAGAACTCGTACTACATAATTGATAGATGAAATTGTGCGAAAACACGATTTAAATTAGGTTTGATACTTGAAACGTGAATGTTAGTAGTTGAGGAATAGTCATCTTCTTGGAGTAACAACTTTGATACAAACAGACAAATGAATAAAACTGACATTAAATGTGTTGCTCTTTTTTTATTGTAGGTGCCAACCTTGAAAATCACGGTCGTTCTCGATCGCACAGTTCATTGAATACACTAGCAACAAAAACTTCACTCGATACTAAAACAAAAAAAGTCGACTAATGTGTTTGTAATTTATTTGAATGTATGTGTGATGGACAATCCAGTATATTTATATGAAGGTGATATACCTATTGTTGAATCAGGAGATTATGAAGTTGTCGATTCTTGTACAACTGTTGTTGATCATGGAAATATTGTTAATTTAAAGTCAACAGATAATTCTTATTATCACCATAGTGATCCATTATGGTCAACTTCAGATCAACAACAAAATTCAACAACTAAAAGACCAAAACGTGGCGAAAAAAAAACTGTAAGTTTGTCGTCAACAGGAATCGTATCGAAAACAAAAAAAAGTGATAATGATATTTCCACACTGTTACCACCACGTCGTCGAGGAAGGAAGCCGAAGCCGAAACAAGAACCTATTAACTCACCGAAAAAATTGAAAAAAGAACAAGCGAACGATATTCTTATTGAGACTGATGATAATAATCGACAACAAAAAAAACAGAGAAGAGTAAAAGAAAAGCAATCGCCACCATTATCACCGACGAAAAAAACAAAAACAGAAGAACAAGAACAAATTATAGGTATATTTCTTCTTGTTACGATTAAGAGGTTAAATCAATGATATTTTCTCTTCAAGACAAAAATCGAACTTTTGAAGATAATCTAGTAAAGTCCATGTTTTCCTATATTATGTAAATTATTTAATCAAATCACATTTTTTCTAACATATTTAGGTGATTCACACAATACTAATTTACGTTCAAAACGTTCAAAAGCACTTCAACAACAACAACACAAACAAGATTTATCGATTGATAATAATCAAATGATTTCCAGTCAGATTCCAGCAACAATTGATTTGAAACAACAACAAACTATACCATCAACAATTTTACTTCAAAATCCTAATTCATCTGGAAATATTGTTATTGTTGGAAATAATAATGATACTACATCAACATCAGCGTATAATCAAGCAACAATTTTGAATGCATTGACATTAGCCGGCGTTAATCCAAATGCGATTCATAATTCCGACTCAGATTCGCCAGATGAAGATGCAGATGACGAAGATTCAATCAATAGTATGGATGATGAAAATGAACAAAGTCAAAATGAAACAGAATCGGATGATGAAGTGAATCATTTAATGGCAAAAAAAACTCAACATCGTCGTTTAAAACAACAAATTATTCAACCAACAACTATTATTCCACATCGACAATCACAAATAATGGATGAATCATCGCAAGATGTTGATGAAGAAGATGATGATTATAATAACAATAATAATCAAATCAATGAACGTCCAGCTGATTTTAGTAATCCTGAATATGTACAAAGTTTGGTTAAACCACATCGAAAACGTCGAACACATTTACCAACAGATGATCAACCGAAGACCATTCGCTGTCATCATACAGGATGCGGAAAAATGTTTCGTGATCATGCTTCAATGAATAAACATCTTCACACTCATGGACCACGTACGTTCAGTTTCACAGCCTCCATTTTTTACTTATTTTAGGACTCTTTGACAGTTCCTAGTGTAGATGAGTTATAGTCAGTTTTTTCCTTCTGTTGTAACGAAACACGCTGCAGTTTCAAATTTTATTTTAAGTCAAACAACAACTCTTATATGCAGTAAAATTTATTCTTTGAAGATATCGTTGTTCTTCTAGTAAAATAACTAAACATATTTCCATCTCTTTTCATTCCAGGTGTGCATGTTTGTCATGAATGTCAAAAATCATTTGTTGAGAGTTCAAAATTACGTCGTCATCAACTAGTTCATACAGGTGAAAAAGCATTTCAATGTCCATTTGAAGGTTGTGGTAAACGATTTTCATTAGATTTTAATTTGCGTACGCATGTTCGGATTCATACTGGCGATAAACCATATGTTTGTCCGTTTGATGGTTGTAGTAGACGTTTTGCCCAATCAACAAATCTTAAACAACATTTATTAACACATGCAAAGATACGTTCACATCAACCATTTGCTATTCCAGCTGTCGCTGTTACGATTACTGAAATTCAGCCACAATATTAATGAATCGCATTGTTTAAGTTTCGTTTAAACTCATCAAGTGCTTTTGTTAGTTTTTTTTTGCTTTTCGTTTTTGCTTTCTTTTCTTTACAAATGATGTATGCTTTCTATTTTCATTATGGAAAAAAAACGAAGAATAATGTTTATATAACTAATCCTTGAAAAGCTTCTCGATGTAGGAGCTAGATCAAAAACTACTTTCAACTGATTATTTTTCGAAAACTTTGTTCGAAAAGAATTGATATTAATTAGAACCACAAGAGTAAACAATTTACACAATGGTTGTTTTCATATATAGCTCTTGTACTTTTCAATATTGTTTCTTTTTATCGGTGTCCGAGAAATGAAGATTTAGATGATTTTCGGTAAATATTCAACGTTGAAAAGTAGAGAGTTGCTAAAAATACTTGACTGTAGTTACATTTTTAAAGTAGAAAAAAAAATGAAGTTTGATGGTATTGATCAGCTTCTGCATTATAGATTTTGCTGTAGCATTGGCAGCGTTTTATTGATCGTCTCAAGTGTTGATTATGTATATCATTTATTTTGTACGAACGCCTTCCTTTTTTTCTCTTTTCACTGCTTGTATATAAGAAAATTAACTGACAGTAAAATTTTGTTTGTCTTTGTGTACATCTATGAAATTATTTCTGTTCTATGCATTGCCTTCTCTAACTTTTCTGTCCCGAAGTAACTATCGTCTGGGGATGTATCGCATGCATCATCTATCCTTTTTCGTGAAACTGATATTTCGAGCGAATAACGAAAATAATCACAGCGCTGAAAGTTGTTTTTATGTAAATGTTTTTTTGTTTTTTTTGTTTCTAAAGTGTTTTGTGAACTTGTACACTGTCTTATTTTTTCATTTTAGTTACTGTTGTCCATGTTTGTGTGTATCATTCACTCTGTTGGTTTATCATCAACCATCTGTCTTTAGATTTCTATCTCTCACTTATCTTATCTATATATTCTTAACGAATTGTGTGGTTAAAATGCAAGGTATTTTTTTTTGAGTATCCTCCAAGCTTTTTTAGAATATATCTTTGAAATAAAAAAGAAAATGGTTCTATATAATTTATCTTCTTGATTGGTAAGTTGTCAACATCTATTCAGTTGACTACATGAATAGTGTTTTTTTTAAGAAAAATTGTTTGAGAAAGAAGCGAGCACTTTCTTTTTTTGAAACATTGAAACATAACCTTATTTTATTGTTTTAGATTTCTAATGTATAAATGACTTCGATATCTGCATAATGTCTGGTATTACAAAGTTTTTTTCTAAAATAAAACGAGAAATAAAATTCTCGAAAGCTGGTGAAGGGCATAAATTGAATGAACAGCCAACAAGTCCTAAAGCAAACACCAGACCAACAAATAGTTACTCGTATGAACCAAGGCCGAATACGGCTAGTAGTACGACAAGAAGGTCAACAGATGAAGCGGCACGTAATGCTGCCGAAGCGGCACAGGCTCGTTTACAACAGCAGCAACCACCACCGGCGCCCGGTAAATAGAATATTTGTTAATCTATAGAAGAAAAGTTTATTATGTGTCTCTGATTTAGCTAACCGAACACAAGAGAGTATTCGTCGTCAAGCTCAACGTGAATTAGAACAAGAAAAATCATTATCTGACGAATATCAAAAAGCACTGGATCTCAAAGATCATTATTTTGGAAAACGACAAGTGTGTTATTATTTTCTTTTACTATCAAATTTCGTACCTTTTAACAGATTTTCCTTTTAGATCAGTATGGACAGTTCTTCCGCACTCGATCTGTCAAATGTATTGTTCAAATGTCCAGATATTTTCGGTGATGATGTATGTTTACCACCTGCTGAACTCGAATCTAAAATTGAAGAAACATTAAAACTTCAATTAGCATCTGAACCGTTGATATCTTGTATACTACTATTTTTAACTTCTAATAAAAAAAATATTGAACAATTACAAAATGCCAAAGATATTATATTGAAATATTATGATAATATTATAAACAATCCGGATGAAGAAAAATATCGAAAAATACGTTTGAAAAATAAAGTATTTCAAGAGAAAATATTACCTTTGAAATATGCCAGTGAACTACTTCAAACAAGTGGATTTATATATTGTAAATTAAAAATAAATGAGAGTGATAGTGACGAAGATGATTATTTATATTACAAAGAAAAATCAACGGAACCACTCGCATTAGCCAAAGATACATTAATAAATGCTGAACCGATTAAAACAAAAATTGATACAAATTTACGTATATTTCGTCCAACAAAAGAACGTTCAACAATACCAACATTACAATTATTACCAAATGATTTTTATAATCCAACAATGAGAGATATCATGACGGAAAAACAACGACAGAAAGATTATTTGGAAAAAGAGGAAATGTTAAGAACGAAAGCAATGCGTGAAAGAGATCAAAAATCAGAGAGTTCTATACAATATAAATATACGGTGTTAAGAATTCGAATGCCCGATGAAATTATTTTACAAGTAAGAGAAAAGATCTAATCATTAATATTATTCCAGATAAAATTTCAGTTCATAAAAGACATCCTAATTGCTTTTCGTAATATCTAATCAGTTTTTAGATGTCAGCATTAGTAATCTTTTAATTATTTTTATCATTAATTTATTTTTTAGGTCACATTTGAATCAGATGATAATTTATCGTCATTGTTTGAATTTCTTCGTTCGTGTCTTGTTTATGATTGGATGACATTTATTTTAACATCAATGGCTGATCGTCAATCATTTTCCAGTGAACATAGTGAACAGTATTCCAATGTCACATTTAATCAGAGTCGTCTAGTTAATGTTGTACTTTCATTTAAATGGGATGATGCTGTATTAAAAGAAATATTACATCAGAAACCAGATTTTCAAGCTCATTGTTATGTAAAGAACGAAATTATTCATGATGCAATGAGTTTGTGAACTTGTATAGCCTTTTAATTGAGATTTGTACTCATTAGTAACACTTTTCGTGTAAATATCAATAGCTAAGAAGTCTTCAGATGAGTTTGACATGTGCTGTGGTTTTCTTCAATAATTATTTAGAAGAAAAAGAGAGAATGAGAAACTTGATCTGCTTACATTATTTTTCTTTGTTGGATTGTATGCTCTTCGTTGTTTTTATCAATTATTTATTATAAACCCGTCTGCGCAATTAAGAGGGTGAACTTATTGTCTGCTTTATTGGAAATTAAAAAAATATCAGTTCAACAATTCATATCGTTTGAGCTTAAAATAATGTGAGATGATTCAATAAAATGAACCTAATCGAATGTGTTTTCAGCAACATGGCTCACACATTCATCTGACATATATATACTTGTTCCAAATTTAAGAAATACTATTTATAAGCTATGACAAGATACTATTTTCTGCATCTGTCAAATGACTGAAGTAGTTTTATTCAGAGCAGATATTGCATATGATGTATATAAAAATGATAGTTGATTCTTTTTTTCTTGCCTAGTAGACATGTATAGGCGCATTTCTTCTATCCTGCTCTGTGACCAGGAATTATATTATAATTATTGTCAATGAAAAATTTACAAAAGTTAGAGCAGGATTTGGGCTCAATAAACAGCTACTCTGTATATTTCTATTGCATAATACGTTTATGATTAAATATTTGAAAAATTGCGTTTCTTTTACATTTTTCCACACTCTCATTACATAGGAATATTTCACTATTAGGCCATGTTGAAATCACAAAATTTAATGAAATTTTACGGAATCGGATTGACGGATTTATTTTTCAGGTAATCAGATTAAAACTTGTAGTCTGAACATGACTTTAAAATCGAGTACTCTAAAAGTATTTAGTTTGTCGATTAAAATTGTGACTTCATATGAACATGTCAGAAATCATATTTAGAATATGACTAATGAATTCTCTTGATTATTTATCCAACAGAACGTGCAGAGAAGATCAATACAAGTATTTTGTTTATAATCTCAGCGGAAATGTTGAATGAGACAGTTAGAAAAGAAAGATGTGTTTGTTGTCAACGGTCTTATGAATTCTAGTACAGTATGCTTATTTCAGGTGTGCCGTTGATGCTTGCTCTTCGAACATATTTGGAAAAGAATAAAACAGTCAATAAAATTTATTCAGTGACCACTTCTTTACCTTCCAATGATATTTTATTAGTGTTAATTTCCAATAAAATGTTTGTTTCAAAAACAGAAGAGCATTGTTCAAATTTTTTGTTTAAAAATTTCTTTTGCCAGTATTATTCGCATGATTTTAATAACGAATGACAGTTATTGGAAAGATGATTAGAAAACATCACAGAGTAATCAATCAATTTGAGTTCATCCGAACATTGGACCAGCTGAATCATCATACTCATGACGACGATAATTTTTCACTAACAGATCGCTAAAAGTATCTTCATCAACTAAAGATGAATCAGCAAGTCTCTCTGCTCGTTTTTTCATTGAATAATTAGCACGTGGACGTTTTCGAACAAATATACCCAAATTGGAACCACGAAAAAGAGGTAGGGCAATACGGCTGTTGGAATCGGCACGTCGTTTAGATAATCCCAGAATTACATGTAATGGTTTATGATCTTTGGTTAAATCAGATAACTGTTCTGCTTGATCAAATATTGATGTTGTTTCAAGCGATGATACATGATCGTAGCATAAAACGCATAGAACAAAACCTATTTTTACAAAACAAAAGTGAAATTAGTAAAATGAAGAGCTTTTAGGGCAATCTATGCTACTGATGCAATATTGTTTGACACAGTATGTGACACTGATGTAGCATTAACTTTCATTAAAAAATATTTCTGAAAAGTTGATGTAGTTTTAACTGAGATTTTCACTCGTAAAAGCAACTTCAGTATATGATGTCAGATTTATTTTTGGTATCTAGTAAAAAATCTATAAGAAACTTAGTTTCAGCATACCTGTAACGTAAATAATTTGAGTATATGACAACATTTTGTACGATATGTATAGCTCTAAAATGTAAGAACACTACGTAAGGTTAGATGAATGCAATAACTACTACTATACTAGGACACTTTTTCTTTTATCGTCATTATAATATTTTTCAAAGAATAATGAACTCTGATTATTTTTAGAGTATTTGTCGCCTCCAGATCGGATAAGTTTCGCCTAGCAAGGAAAAGCTTCATGAAAACGCACACACTATTATGTGACAATGTTTTAAGCATGCAAACATTTCATAAATAAAACGTTAATCGACATTGATTATCATTCATCGAAAGTGTATCATTTTACTATTACTTTTGACTAGTACTGTTGAGAATAGAGCTTAAGAATACCTAAACTGATATTATTTCAAACGTATAAGCATATAATATTCTTTTTAGTCTATGTTTTAGAAGGCTAGTAGAATAATTATTGTAACAGCTTTATAATTTGATCTTAAATGATTTGCTTTTGCATGCAATCACTTAAATCTCATATGACAGAATTTTATTCTAGTTTGAATTGTATTCAATTGCGGAGGCTTTTGTTCATTTATTATAGTAGTTTAGATGAAGAGAAGTTCATATAATTGCGCTGTTATAATGTGAAGATGGTAGAATTGACGAATTAAATACTTGTGTGCTAATTAAAAAAAATGGTCAGCTTATGCATCAGTCAAAGAGTTAGATAGTATCTTGACACAACACATCCAAAATAAAGTTCAAGAATCTTGATGGATGTTTTATTCTAGGTTATTTCTCTGATATTATTCGTGATCTAATTCCCAATGTTGCTAGTGGATCAATATTCTATTCCCGAAATAAATGTACAAATTACATTAAGTCTCTTCAAAAATATTTATATAAGATATCAAAATCATTTCTCGATTATTCATTCACACGATTCAATAAATGAACTCAATAGTGGAGCAAGCAGAATCATTAGCAAACCCGTTACACTGTCTAATGATGTGGAGAATTGATTCATCATTCGATATAGATAATTTTAACCCTTTCAGTCCAAATGACGGATGTATACGTCATGGTATTTCGATGAGTGATTGAATGATGTAAGACAGGCAGCCATGTTTTGCTCTGAATGCTAACAGAAAACTAACGCGCTGTTGCAAAAGAGATGCAGCACAGTGTGCATCCAGGTGAGCTTTTGGTGAAAAAATGAAAGTTGATTTTTCAGTGATTCAAATAGTGATTAATATACTCTGAACTATGCTCTATTCGATGGTAAGAAAAAAATTTCCTGCGACCAATTTAAGCTGGGAGAAACATATGAACAAAAATTGCACTGAAAACCATGTTAAGCGATGGTACCGCCGGTAAATCGGATTGCACGCAAAATCAAGGTAAGCCATAAGACAAACAAACACATATTCAGAATCTGCATCCAGTCCGCTACCGACTGGTAAAAAAAGTTTCAATTTTTGGGCCTTCCAAGCCGGACAAACCAAACAAAACATTTTTCTGTCGAATTCTTCAAAGCGACGTGTTCGACAAAATACGTGCGCCAACTTTAGCCTAACTCCAATTTTGATGAAACTTTTAGAGAATGTGGTCCTATATATGACACGTCTACACAGGTAGCGAAAACTTGCGAAAAGTTTCCTGTCCCAAGTTATTGATTTTTCAGAAAAACCTCGGTTTTTCCGGTATTTTCGAATTATTTTCGGTCCAGAAAGGTTTTTATTCAATATAGATGACATATTTGGAATCAGCGCATAAAATCGAGTCGAATGGTATATAACACGAAACAGTTTTTAATAAAAAAAATTTTCAAAAACATCTGAGCAAGGGTACCCCCCTCAGATATTTTTTGGTCGAAACGTTTTTTTTCTTAAAAATGATTTTCTGTGTGATATAAAATCACTTCTGAGCAAAATAAATCCGTTTTCGAGCAGGAAAGTCGCATACTCGCCTGCCATGCGAAAAATGCACACTGTGCAGTAACGCATTCGCACTCAAATATAATCTTGAATATGCTGTTACATCATTCAATCATTCATCGAAATATCATGACGTATAAATACGTCATCCGAACTGAAAGAGTTAATGATACATGCCCACTCGATTTTAGATCATTTGTTAAACAAACAGAACGGTGTAGGTTTTATCGATGGTGAAACAGCAGTTAATCTACACGGAATAGAGAAAGTAGAAGGTGCTGGAAAATGGTGCTTTCGGATATTATACACAGCAAAATTTTTTTAAAAGAACAAGAAAATCATCTTCATCTTTCTGCTGTTTGCGATGGTCCCACTGATGATTTTGTCTAGCCGTCCATGATGTAAAAGAAGCCCAAAATGTTCTTAAAAATAATAATGTCTGCATTGATGCCTAATAATCTGGATTCGTGGCGCCCCTCTTTTTTAAAATCCCTCCTCTTTATCTTTTTCTGGAATTTTTTAGCAAAAATACCAGAATACCAGAATTCAAGTTATTTCTAGGTCTGAAAGTAGTTTCAGATATATTTGTTATCAATGCCGTCATCTGAAACAAAATTCAATCACTCATGATTAAAGAAAATAGTAGATGAAGTGTCTGTGAGACGATGATTAAAGCAATGTGCTAAGGAATCAACGGTCGTATGCACATTGTGTAAAACGGGCGAATTAGATTGTAGGAAGAAAAGAATGGCAGTCGATCGTACAGCATATGAAGAAAGATAAACACTGTGAAAAAATCAGCGAGTTGAAAGGAAAATACCACATTTGCTTCTGCGACATCTTCGTCTCGTACAGCCACAACTTTATCACAAACTTCATCTACATTCACCTTTCCAACATTTTCAATGGCTCATCCAGCAAGACTCTCAGTTTTCAAGATCAAGTGATTGAAACTGGAATATTATGGGCTATTAGTGCTGCGCAGCATAGCGATGCTATTTGAATATTCGGATATTTTTCTGTGTTAAACTAGAATAACTCTTTTTGCTGTGTTTTTCGTTTTTTACGTGTGAAATACTTTAAGTGGGATGAAATCATTTTGTTGAGAGCCTTAAGCCACTCTGCCATGTACACAACATTGTCAGTACCGTTTTCTGACCCAAAACTGACTCATCTTTGTCTCTTTTTAATGCTACACCCCTCTAAAAGAAGTTTTGACATTCCTCTTTTTTCCTCTCTTTTCTGAAGGGACGATTACGAAGTCAGCTAATCATGCGTATATAAATACATATAAACCTGATAAGTTAATAAAACTAGACGATACAAACATCATAGTGTTGGATATAAATATTTCGTTTATTCCATGAATCTTGTTGTCTTCCTTCATACTGTATACTACGATCACATTGCCAAACGACAAGTGTTTTTCAAAAGTATAGTGAGACCCTAAAAATGTTGTGAAGTATGAAAAAACTAGTGTAATATCATTACTAGATGTTTGCGAACGTCATTATTTATGCATCATTGTAAAATTGTATTCTACATGATCAATATTAATATAGTATGTTTCTTATAATCATTCTGTTAATTATGACGTTATGTTTAAACTTTCTCGAAAAAATGAGTACCTCCGATTAAATAATAAACACGGCCCTTCCAAGAAAGGGTTTTCCTAACAAACTTGACCTCATACTTTGCTACTTTTTAGAGTAGATAAAGTTACACATTGCAATTTTTAGATTTTTGAATTGATTTTGATTGAAGAACTATAGAAACAACAGAAAGCCGATGACTTTAGTGATTTGTTAATACAAACAAAGGCACACAGTGATAAAAAAGAATGTTTGTCTATTTTTTATTCATCTGCATCATGCGAGATAAACTATCTGAAGATAGAGTTCTGTTTTCGTCAATTAACATCCAGCAGGCTGATTGTTTATGTGGATACTGAACTTTATCATTGATTTTAATCTTAAAATATGAATATTTTTGTCCATCAGCAACCTGCTCTCGTATTTTTCCTTGATAGTTCGTTTTGTGGTTGTTAAAGATCCTTCATCAGTTTGATTAATTGATCAGTTTAAGTAAAGTTTCCTTGACTTTTGAGACTTTACTTGAATTTGAGTGAATTCAGGTGAATTTTGAATTTATTTGAATTTAACGGACTAAATACAGCTGTTTTCCTCTCGATTAAAACTCATTTATGATGGAATTTTTCCAGAAAATTCATGGTACTTTGCTTGGAGTACTTATATCCACTAAAAACGGTTCATACAATCGGTAGTAAAAAAATACAAACATTTTCTATTGTTCATTTTTAGTTAATTACATCCGATTCTAATCGATGTTTGTATTAGTCTACGTATTAGCAGCAGCTATTATTCCTGTCATTAATGAAATAACTGGCATCAGAAATGATGTATTTGTTATTCATCAAACTATGACGAATGAAGTCGTACTCTAAACATGAACAAAGTCGCAATCGAGTTTCATTATTATCAGAGGACTGCAATACAAATTTCTTTCAGAGATAATGTAAAGTCGGTAAAAAGAACTCACTTAGTGTGGTTCTGAGTATAGAGTATAAAAAAACGGCGAGAAGAGGCGGTACTAATTCCTCATATTTCAAAATCGCACTTATCTAACGAGGGAACCATCCCAACTGATGAATCGTTTTATTAGCGAAAGCTGTTGAGTTATAAGGTATTGACGATGCTAATTCCGAATATGATCATGAGAGCTTCGCTTAGGCCTTCGGAGACAATTTTTTTGGAGAACCGGTTTTCCAAGCTAAAAATGTTTTTTCGCCAAAGAATTTTTCTGATCTGTTCAGATTGTATAGCGTGTCGAGTTGTCTGTAGAAAACTAATTTTTTGTCATTTCAGATGGATTCTTGAAGGAGATGTAGTCATAATTGTGATTTACACCTGCGCTTTTCTCATTGGTAAATCCAAGAATCGATTTGAAATGACAAAAATTAGTATTTTATAGTAAATTCGACACGCCCTACAATCTGGACAGATCAGAACATATTTTTGGCTAAAAACGGTTTTCCAAAAAAACAGTCTGCAAAGGCCTAATGGGAGCTCTCATGGTCATATTTAGAATCAGCATCGTCGATAACCTATAACCCAATAGCTTTCGCTAAAAAGACGATTTATAAGTTGGGACAGTTTCCTCGTAGATGTGTCAATATCAAGATAAAGGCAAATATTAGACGTTGTGTTATTCATTTTAGGATTAGTGATATACGACCTTCAATTTATTAAAAGATCGTACATCTTTTATTTCACATTTTCTTATGTTGAATACTGTAATTTTAACTCAAACTGTGTGTCATTGAACAAACTGTGTTATACATTTGCGAGAAAGATCGGCTATTCAGTATCTGATTTACAAATATTTTCATAAAAATAAAGCGATCAGAAAATATTTGCGGGAAAGCATTTGATGTCTATGTATAGTTGAATCGTGACGAATTATTCATATTCATCCATGGACTCAATCATTGTTGGCAGACACGTACCATAATAAGCAATTTTAATATATTGTTTTTTGAAACATCGAGCATCCACTAATTGACACATACTGTAATATTGAACATTATCATCGCCACAGATGAGCTCAAAATGACAATGTTGTAATCGATTTACCATTCTTGTGTTGTTTGGACATCTGATACAGACCGGTTGACGATCATCAAGTGTCTCAACACACGTTTGTCGGCGAGAACATATGTCATGAGTGCATTTCTTTTCTAGTCGACATGGCCCTCGATGAGCTAAAATTCGTTGGGTTCCGTCTTCTTTAGGTGAATTATATAAGTGACAATCGTTAATAAACATATTACCGTCTACGTCGCACACTGGTGAAAAGCCGCTACAATTAACAAGTCTTGACACACAATGTGGCCGTCCATTAGCGCCCGGTGTTAAAATACAATGTTGATCATCTCGAAAACATTCCACATTTGAACAATTTTTTCTACATGAACCCCAATAATCGATTGTTGTTTCGTTCGATAATTTTCCATCGCACATATCAAGTAGAATTTCGCATGTGTTGGCATATGTAATACTGTTGTCCAAACACAATTGACCATGATGACTGGGAAAAGTTTGATTGAGAATATCGCATGCAATACTACAATTTGGACGCAGAAGCCTTACCAAGTACGAGAGATGGTTAATAACAGAGAGTCGTTGAACCTTCGGTTCAGGACGAAAAGGACTGATAGTCAAGAGATCGCAGTGGGAATAATTCCACACGTCAATTGGCCGTTTTGTAACTATATGGTATCTCGAGGGAGACGAAGATGTGATCATGTTGGTGGTCGTGATGGTGGAGGTGATGGTGGTAGTGGTGATGTTGGTGTTGGTGTTGTTGTTGGCGGCGGTGGTGTTGGTGGTGGTGGTGGTGGTGGTGGTGATGTTTAGAATACTCGAATTGAGTGTACTAAAACTTGATGGCTCTATTACATTTGGAAGTGATGTATTCTAGAAGTAGAAGTGTTTAGAGTTATATGAATTGTCTGATAATCAACATCTATTATGTGTTTTTCTTACCACTGTAGTTGTAAATTTATTTTGTCTAGTGACACGTTTAGGAGCATAACTTTTTGTAATATGTTCAATTATTGTTGTTGTTGTAAGCGGTTGAGTTGTAAAAGTAAAGGATGGCTTCATGATAGCTAGTCGTTCATGCTGCGGTTGTGTATAAAATGTTGTTGGTTTAATTGTAGTTTTTGAAATACTTAGCTGATTCCATTGTTCAAAAATCGCCCGATGTCCATAATATCCTTTACAGTAGTGCTCGGTAATTCCATCTTCCAATGGACATATTGTACTATTCACATTATATCGTAATGAACACGTGCCACATAGAGGTGCATTTTTCCATGACAGAAATTTGTTAATGCTCCAATCCATACAACCCGATTTTGTACTGATATGAAGTTGATCTACTTTATTCAAGCTAATATTTCTTGCGAGATATTTGATCCAATCGTAATCACATCGATGACAATCATCATTAACAGCTAATGCAAAATCGTTCAAATGTGAAAACGATTGTATGAATGACCCATTAATTGGATGAGAAATAATCGTAAAACTTAGCCGAAACATATGTAAATTAGGAAACTGTCGAATAAATACTTGTTCATTACCCCAGTATGTTCGATCAAGAAGAAGAATATGTAAACGTTGCATAATTGAACATTGTGCAAAAAATTTGTCAAATGAATCAGTTGAACAATCAGCAATATGTAAATAGAATAGATTTTCAAAAGCATCAATTGGACATTTAACATTTTCGTTTAAAATAAATTTTGTTTTGTGAATAATAAGAAAATCATAGTGCTTAAACACCGATGAGTTGAAGGTATTTATCGGAGAAAAATTGATCGTGGAATCAATAAACTCAATTGCTGATATTTCTGAATGTTGAGATAAATAATTTTCAATTACCGAAAGATTAAACACGTATCGACACGATATCATACGATAGTAGCGTATTGTAAAATGCTTTTTACCCATTCGGATACTGCATTCTGTTCCAGTAGTGGCATCTAACCGTATTCGATTCAACAAACGTGTTCCGTTGCTTTTGATTAGAAAATGTTCGGTCGCTGATGTTAACGATGACACATGAATTGTATGATAAACGACAAGTAACACGATAAGAAGAAGACGGAGAATATAATGATAAACGAATTTTAACTCCATTATTATCCATTTAAATTGTTTTTTCAATATGACATCTTAGTGAGCTAGAGTATGCCCAAGTATTTTATTTGATTTTGACTTATCTTTACCTATTTGGGTACGAAATATATTTATGTTGAAAGAACAAATAAAACTGTCTAATAACAAAGCAACTGCTGTTTTTCATTTTACATTTCTTCAGTAAGAGTTGTTACAGGATCAAATTTCGATATAACATTAAAAGCTTGTTTTGTCTAGTTGTATATAGTCTCATTAAAGTGATACACGTGTGTTTATTACAATAGTATCTTTTTTTTTGGCCTAGCAGAAGTCGAAGGCAATATGCATTTTATCCTAAAAATTTTGAAGATAAACCACATACATACAGCAAACTGCATCAGATTTGTCTTTAATTCAATATTATTCGGAAAAAATAGAGAGTAATTGCTCTTGAAAATAAAAACATACTAGAAAGTTTTTTGTTCACTCCTATCGCATAATGATCATGTGTATAAACAAAGGCATCTCAATGAAAGAAAATGCTTAGTAAACATTTACAAACAATTTTTCTTTTTGGTCAATCCCTGATGCAGGATAAGAAGAAGTATATGCATTATACTTTACTCGATTATTATGAGTACGAATAAAAAAACTAAATTTGATACCATTCATGTTTAACTTTTAAAATTTTTTTAATAGATATAAAATGTAACATGTAGAAAATAGTTTTAATGACAATAAAATAGACATTGAATTGGATGCTATTTGTTTTTGAACATTATATATAATATTTTTTCTTTTAGAAATTTGTTTTGTCATAATGATATTTCTTGTTTCATTATTTGATATAGACGAATAATGATTATAACGTTTTTGAATATCTAAAATAAGTCTCATATTTTTTGTTTTACATAAACCATTATATATTTGATCGATACCATCAACGTATCCATTTGATGTTGATATAAAATAATATTCTTTTTGTTCATAAAATTCGAGTGCATCGGGATATGGTAAAAACTGAGCAATAGTTATTGTATAAATTTGTGTTTCAAGCGGACGATTACAATACATTAATGGTAAATAATTATTTGAATAACATTGTTCGTATGCTTCTTTTGATACAATATATAGTGCACTATACTCAACTGGATCGAGTTCATTTGTCACTTTTGGACAGATAAAATCAATTTTATCACCAAGATGTACATATAATATTGCTGGTGATACCGATGAAAATATTTCGTTTGAAGAATTCCAATAGATACGAAATGAGCGAGGACGATAATATCGTCGACGTATACTAGTAGTTGTTAAAGTAGATATCGTTGAAAAAAATGTAACCAGTATGAGTAGTTTCATATGATAAACTCGTACATCACCATTAGTACACAAACATTTGATCTCTGAAATAAAATATTATTAGTTTAAATAAAGTACTTTGATTTGGATCAAATAATTTCCGAGTGGGTCTATGTATATAGATGATACTTGTTGAGATTGTGTATAGTATGTGATTGAACACGTTGATGATTATTGAAAGAATTGCATAATAGCTATAGGCTATGTATATGATAAAGTTATTATAAACAATCGATAGCATACATTTTTTTTTCGATTTTCTTTCTTTTTATTCTTCACTTTTCGTTTCAAATAATTGCTGAACAATTTTCAGATTAATATACACTGATTTTTTTTCTTCTTTAGTTGGAAAACAATCTGTTCCTATAATAATAGCATGTCATATTACGTCTCTCTCTTTCTCCCTCTCTCTCTTTCTCTCTCTCTCTTTTTTTTTCTCTGTTCTCTGTCGTTTCATTTATATAAAATTGTTCAATCAATAGTAAACGTTCAGCATTATGATGAAGGACAAAGCTATTCACACCTTAAGAAAAACAAACAAAAAGATATATAATGAAAACTGTGTTACAAATCACAACGATTTTATCTTAAAACATTGTTTGTAGTAGTATGCTGGAGGGAACGATAGATTGTTTGTTAGATGTAATACATCTGCAAGTGCTACTTACATATTTAAATTGAACAAAGATGATAATAAAGCTTTCGTAACTATCAGACGAATGCAGTACATGAAATCAGACAATGAAATCCTTAGCAACTTCGTCAACTCATTATAACAATTATCGAATTAAGCGACTGTGAGAGTATAGCTTCTTAAAAGTGCGCATATAAACGTTTAGAGTTTAATGCGGCTTATACCTTTCCTAGTACTTAGAAATTCAAAAAAGTTTATTTATTTATTTTTGATCCTAAAGCGTTGCAATTATTTATTGACAAGTGTTGAAATCTACACTATCGATAAAACTGTACCCTGATCTTGTGAGTTAATCGAGCTTGTACATTTTAATTTTTTTTATTATTTTCGAATGACTGATTTTGTCTCATCAAATGTGTACAGAGATTGAGTCAGTGTTTGATAGTTTGAAATGTGTCAGTGAACTTGAGAATCTCTAACGAATATCAGATTCTAATTAATTTTATCTTGTCTAATGAATAGAGACGTGTTCGACAATATCCGTTATGCATAAACAGAGACATTCTACAACGTGTAATACAAAATTAATTAATCTTGTCACAGTATTAAAGACATGTAAAAAATCGATATAAACATTGCACTCCTTTTTAGCACCAAATAGAATATTTAGTATTGAATTTTCCTTACTTTGATAATTTTAATCTTATTTCATATCTAACCACTATTCTATTTTAATTAAAAACTGACAAATAAAAATCTTTATGCTATAATACATATAGACAATCAACATACCCAAGCAGTAATAAAAGTGAGTGTTTGATAAAATAATACTAATAATTCCTATAGCTATTTAGTTTAAAGATATATTAAAAACTTGTGCTTATTTACCTTCCTTACTTTCCTCTTAAATAAAAACATAACAAAGATAGAAAAATATTTAAGTTTTTTGCGCATGATGGATGTATGGGTGTATGAACATATTATATGTGGATAATTTCAAGTATAATATATTCATTCAAACAAATCTCTTGAATATTTCAATTATAATTACTTCGAAAAACCTTGACAATATGGCTTTTATGATTGAGAGGGAGAAAACAAAAACAAAACCAATGAATAACCATGAAAAAAACTTTTTGAGAAAAAACTACGTATTAATAATGGAGAAAAAAACTCAACTTATATTTTGGCATACAACTTGACAAACTTGTCGTTATTTTCTTTCTAACATACGTTACGTGTAATTAGTTCTTATCGATCTCCTTCTCTAGATGTTTTGAGGAAGTATTCATTGTTAACAATCAGTCATATATTCTGTTTTCACAGGTCAATGATAAAAAAAATTTTTTTTCATAACTTAAATATCTACTGTCTGTTGTAAGAATTCCTATCATTAATAAATAGAAAGAAAATTTTTGTTTTTTCTCTTTTTCCATGTTATTCACAATAATAACACATTTTAATGGATTCTATTATAAAATACACAACATTAAAAATACTTATGCAATGGTCTTATTTGTATAGCGTATATTAAAAACATATATCGACAGACTACTTAAAAAATGTTTATAAAAAACCAACTAATAAAGCAACACTACTTTTTTACTGACTTTATCTCTTCGCACTAAATATTTGTAGTTGAAAAGGCATAACGCTTAGAGTAGCGGATCCAGCCCACGAGTGGCCGCTCGCACCCTTTAACCAAAAAACAAATTTTTTCCAACTTTCTTAGAATAATTTGTTTCTATGATGACCGTACGTATCTCGCACTTTTATCCTATACTGCACGTACCAAAGAATAATTCTGGATCCGCTACTGAACGCTTAAGTTTCATTGATTATGAAAAAAAACGTGTTAGAATTCAGAAAATCTTTCAGCATGTAAAGTTATACACTTCATCAATTTCACAACGCATTTTCAAATATAAATTTATCTCTTTAGATAATTTTTTATTTAGAAAAAACGTTAAGTAAATGCTTAGATGTAATAAATTAATAGCGCTTATTATATCAATATTTCTATGAAAAAGTATCGTTAGAAAAAGAGAAATGAATCGAAATAGACTAAAATATGTTTTTCTTCAATTTATAAGTTTTTGAAGTTGATGAGAACACTTTCTTAAACAGTAACGGAACCTTTTTTCTTCTTGTGAACGTTTACATGACACATCTTTGAGTGCATAAATAAATATGTGCTCGAAAAAAACGCAAATCTTCTTTGAGAAGTTTTTTTGTCGTCACTACCATTATTCTGCTGTTTGTTTATCGCATACATAAATAATAGAATAATCGAGTAATATAAATAGAATACTGTATTCGATGACTGTCTATGATTCGTATCACATATTAATAGCGATCTTGTCTACTCAATACAACGTAATCAGAATAATAAACTTTTATTTATTCAATAAACTTCACAAGACAGAATTCAATAGACAATTAATTATCGTGTATCAAATATATATAAACCTACGAAAAAGATCTCACATTGTCTCAGAATTTTATCAGGTTCATTTTAAATTTAACTACTTTGTTTTTTCTATTTTCAGCTATGCCATAAATGTTCAAAATGACTCTTAATTCACTATCGGCCACCATTGTCAATAAAGCTACACTCATCTATTAGCAAAAAGACAAGAATTGTGTCGAATACACATGCGAAAATGAATGGTATTTTTTTAAGTCAAAGAATAAGTCTCTTTATTTCTCCAATATTATTCATTTAATGCGTTTGCTTTTCGATGATACAATTCAACAAGAAGTTAATCATGTTGATTAGTGATATAATGATTGAGTGATAGTTACGTGAGTATCAATCAATAACTGATCATGATGACTGACACAGCCGACTTATCTTGCAAGGAGATTAATATAACCATCAACAGCATCACTGATCCAGAAATCAACAAATGAGAGAAGGCTAATACATATCAAATTCTAATTTTATCAAAAGGTAGATGTGAATCAATTCTTGAAGAAACCTACCCTTCAACCAGTATTATCATCATCCAACATTAATTCAAAGACATCAATTGACTAAATAGTAAATAATGAACTTAATCTATAAACGTTTAGTAGTAGAGCATCTGTTAACAGCAACTGAATCACTATCAAAAATCCTTCATTAGCGGTGACAGTCGACACATGTGCACGATGAAAATTGGTGTACCAATACGCTAAGCATCATACCAATGATGATAAATTGAGAGATCAGTCAGATTAGTGTTGTAACCTCAATGGACTTAACGATAGAAAGAGCACATTTGCCCGTACCAACGTTCCTCTAATCAGAGTTGTAACCGGGCCGGTCCGATCCGGTTCGGCGTAAAAGTTTAGATCGGCCGGTTCCCACCGGTCTTCTACCGGTCTGTAAAGATTTTCAAACCGGCCGGTGATTTTTTCCTGGTTTTGAAACTCTTAGCTTTTTTCTCTTCTTCACTAAAAAAAAAAATCAGTTTTTCTACTCTCTTGTCCGTCTGGAAAATATTTGAAAACCGGCCGGTTTTTCACCAGTCTAAACCGATTTTTGGACCGACCAGTCTCTTATTTTTAGACCGGTTACAACTCTGCCTCTAATCATCTGACGTTGATAATTCATTTCAATCTCTATTTCCTTCGACTTGTTCTATTAATCGAACAACATTCAATCAAACGATTCATAACTATTCCAGCCAAGAGTACTTATATTTACTACTGCTATAAAATCAAATTTATTCGAAGAATCATATCGTTTCTGTTTGATCAACTTTTATTGAATCTAAAAAGAAAGATTTCAGTCTAATGTTATGGGACTACTATCCATTTTAATGAATAATGAACCCGGTTGTAACTTGAATAACTTCGGAACGGAAGCAGCTAGAGACCTGCCGTTTTCGTTGTTAGAAAGAGAAAAAATAACTTTATGCTTTTCTGTAACATCCAACGACTTCACACCGACTTTTGGCGCTACCGATCTGTGAAACATTTTGAAATACGCTTAGCGCCAAAATTTC